CTTTTATTATCTCAAGCTTCCAGATTGATCCAATTCAATCTCCAGAACACATAGCACACGTTTAATATCAATTTTAGACCATAGGAAAATTTTCTACATTTTTCCTTTATTATTTCTCCATGCCCGAATTATCTAAAGCAATTAGGGTAAACTTTTCTTTTAATTTCAAGCATGAATTCAACCTCCTAATAACAAATTCATGCTACTCCAATCATCACAACATTAAATTCGATTGAAATTAAATCAATCCTCATAAACCCTATGATGGTTGAATATTGTATATGGCTTTACACTTGATTTTAATCATCGCACATGCTTGAAAATTAATCTACAACATCAAAAACATAAAATTCAACCTTAAATTCAGCCAAATTCAACATGTCCTTCATAAACCCTAATCATCAATCTCATCATCCAAGCATGATTTCCATGAAATTTTTACACTAAATCATAGAGAATTTCAAGAGGATTAATTCTCTATCTAATAGCTTAATCAAAAAATCAAAGAAAATGGCTTAAAATGGAAAAGAATTGTTTTCCTTACCTTCAATGGTGTTCACGACAGTAAGGGGAAGAAGTTGAACAATTTTTTTGTTGATTTTTCCTTTTTTTTATTAGCCTTTACCAATGTTTTCAAAACCGGATCGGACATTGAACCAGTAAAGGTACTGGTTCACTGGTTCAACCGAGTTCAATTGCGGTTGAACCGAATTTTATATAAAATAATATATTTTTTTAATTTTACATAATATTCAAAACAATATTAATATATATGTAACATTTTTTTTAAGTTTACAATATTAAAAGGTATAAAAATATCACAAGTCATAACATGTATAAATGAAAAACCATAAAATCAAGTGAAACAAAATGATTCAAATCAACTACAACATAATATTTAAGGTAAAACATATTAAATAATAAATATAATTATATAACTATAATCAAAAAAATAAAATTGGGGTTTAAAAAAATCATAACAAATGATGTCATTTGGTTTAATTGTTTTAAAAAAAACAATCCCACATGGCTAAGAAACATAGAAGAGTATCCCAAAAGTTTAAAGAGTAAAAATTTGAGAACAAAACAATCCCACATGGCTAAGAAACATAGAAGAGCATCCCAACTTACTTCTATAAATAATAGAGGTAATTTGACATTCAAAATCATAGAGCCTTTTGGTGAGCACAAAGCGAACTATTCTTTCGCTTCAATTGAGCTCAAATTTTAGGCTTCAATTGAGCTCAAATTTTAGGTTTCAATCGAACTTCTAAATTTTTTTTTTAGTTCGAGCCTTTTCGATTTCAAGTTTTAATATTATATTTCGAGTTGATAATTTTTAGCTCGTGAGTTTTTGAGTTGAGTTGAGCTTACTTTTAAAGTTTTCGAGTTCTAGTCGAGCTCAAAAATACTCGAATTTACCTCGGCTCGTTGAACAAACGATGTTGTTTGGTTTAAATTTTTTTTAAAGAAAAAAAGTGAACCGGCGGTTCAAACCGGTTTTGCCGGTTTTCAGCCGGTTCACCCCGGTTTTCAACCGGTTCTTCAGGTTCTTTACCGGTTCTGTGCTAATTCGATTTTGGGAGTTAACCGGACCGGACAGGCCACCGGTTCACGGTTCAACCGGTCGAACCGACCGATCCGATCCAATTTTAATAACATTGGCCTTTACTCATGTTATATTCTAATTAAATGAATTTAAAATGAATATAATAAGAAATTATCACTTTACCCTTAATAAAATATGATAATTTCCATTTGCCATTGAATTATCTTCCATTAAAATATCTCATAGTCAAAGATGAACAAACTTGAAGTTGACTTTCTAATTTAGATATGCAATTTTTGAAAATTGCAATTTAATCACCAAATTTTCTAATTTCGGCTAAATAGGAAAAATTAACTTCAATTACATTGATCCATGCTAATATGAAAATAATATTTCCAAATTTTATCTACCATCCTTCAAATTTTTGTGAAATTCCTATTCGATCCAATTATTTAATTTCTTACCGAACTTTACTACTTTATAATTTTTAATACAAATCTCAAGTCAAAATTCTGATTCCCACAAAAACCTTTATTTCAGGACAAACTATCCCTTTATGGGCTAAAATATATACTTTTAAAAATTATTATTTTAGTTCTTAAACTTTTATAAATTTTATACTTTGGCTATTACATTTTCAAAAATTATATTTTGATCACTACTTAAAATTTCAGGTGTTACAAATAGAGGTATGAATGTTTATTACCAATTGGTTGAATTTTTTTGAACATATATGATCTTGTATTTACACTTAATTTATTTAAAATTAATATAATAATTAAAACTCTAAACCCTAGATCTAGTTCTAAAACCAGTGTGGTTTTAAATATCAAAAGCGTTTTATATTGGAAATGCTTTCCATATGTGTTGTCAAATAAGTAAAAACTACTTTTTGCACCACGTATGCAATAAACGTGTTTTGCATAACGCGCTTTTGTTAATAATATAAGGATTGTCTTATACTTCATAATTTATTTTTTTTTATAAATAATTAAATAAAATGGAAAAGGAACAGTGAGAAAAATATATAAAATAAATAATGTCGTGTAAGTATCAGTAATGCTTTCTGGATTTACATTTTATATAAGGGTAAATTATATTATTAACCACTTAATTGTTTAATCATTTTACTTTTATCATTAATATTTTAATTTTGTTAATTAGATCACATAATTATTTAATTATTTTCAATCAAGGCACTAGATTTTAACAGTTGAAGGAAATACTGACATAATAGTTAAAAATTGACATAATTATACATTTAGTCCTCAATATTTATATATCATATCAATTTGATTCTAATTTAGATTTAATTTAATAAATTAGTCTTTCAATAAAGTGGTGACACGTGTTAACAGTTGACGAAAATGCTTATGTGAAAGTTAAAAATTAACATAATTACACATTTAGTCCTCAATATTAATACATTCTATCAATTCGATTCGAATTTAAATTTAATTTAATAAATTAGTCTTTCAATAAAGTTATGACTCATGTCATCACTTGATTGGAGGATATTTCCTTAATTTTAATTTATTTAATTAAATAATTTTTATTGAATCAGGTGATGACACGTCTCACTATTGTTAAGTGAAAAACTATGGAAAACTAATAAGTGAGCATAAATGGGGTAAAGATAATCAAACATGCGTCCAACAGAATAACAGTGGCATATCTCAACCACTGCACTAGCCTCTCATTTATTTCAAGATGTACAAAATCGCATATATACCTTATTATCACTAATGACTGAAAAAAAAAATCAAACTAAAATGGTCACAACAACGATTGAGCCTAGGTCTCTAATACAAGGTAGAAACTAGTTAGCCTCTAGAATAAATCAGAAATTTGATGATAAGTTAGAATAATTTATATATGAAAAGAACACTACTATAAAATAAATCTAATAGGCATTATTTCAGTTAACGCAAAATTATTATGATATTATTTATTTAAATAATATTTATACTAAATTTATTTAAATCATAAATTGTTTACTAATAATTTAAATCACATATTGTTTTATTTAAAATTATTAATAATATTTTATTTGATTTATTTAATATGGTTTATTAAAATATAATCTAATATTTTATAATACTTTCAATCGCATATTATTATTATTATTATTATCTTATAATAGATTTATTTAATATTATTAATAATATTATTTAAATAATATTGTATTTTAGAATTATTTAATGGTTTAGTTATTTTCATATATAGAATATTATAAATTAATATAAATTTTTTTATTTAGCCTACTGGATAACAGTTTCGTCTATAACTTAACGACCCAGGTTCAAGACTTTTTATAACCATTTTAATTCCATTTTCGTGCAATAGTGATAAGATATATACATATGTTGTATTAAATGTCGAAGCGTAGTGGCTAATGTAGTTGTTGAGGCGCGCTCTTACTAGGTTTTTAGACGCAGTTTCAATTCCTGGTTCTCCTATTTATGCTAATTTCATCATCTTATTAATTATGATAAAATGTTTAATTTCAACTGTGAAAAATATATTGGTGAATAGTAAAATAAATTACTTTCGAGTAAATTTCGATTATTTTTTTATAATCATATAAATACTAAAGATTTAGATTAAAAGTCATTTATACAAATATTTTTGTAGTCTTTTATTTATTTGTTTTTTATGTTAGTAAAAATTATCTTTTTGTATGTGATGTTTTCCAAGGCTTTTATATAAAATTTTAATATATACATATATTTTTTGTGCTATCACTATACTTATGGTCATCTTTCTTTTACTAATTTGCTTGAAGCGTCTAAAGCTTTTTTGCTAGTTAAAACGCTTAGACAAATTGAATGTTTAGCTAAATACAAGGATGATTAAGTCTTGTCTCCAATCTCTTTAGTATCAAAGCCAAATAATACACTATGTTGTTCAAGTGTTTATTGAAACTCTTCAATATAACATGACGAGCCTTGTACAATTTTCTTTCAATCCATATGAATTTTTTTTTTCAATATAATTTATGAAACTCATCAATCTCTCATGATGAGTTCTACATGAACAACAACAAAAGATCTAAATACCAAAATAATTTTCAAACACCTTTACTTTTCAAAAATATATATATATATATTCGCCCACATATTTCAACTTTTATTGGTTAATTGTAAGAAACTTGGTATCATTTAAGAAAATGTATCAGGTTCAAGTTTTTGTGTATACAAAAAATCCTCGTTGTGAGACTCACCTACCAAAACCATATGTACAACCCGAGTCGGTCCAGAATAGTTAAGGCGAAACCTTTGAACTGGAGAGCAAATAAAAAAAAAACTCAAACAAACAAACCAAACAATGCAATTCAATTTTTTTCTCAGCCCTAGTGACAAGCGCATATCATAAAGTTTGTTAAAGGGTAAACTTCTAGCCGAATGGGGTCAGTAAATTATAAGTGCAATTCAGAGCTTCAGGTAGACATGGTAATAGCAAGTTAAGCTTAGGTCAGCCTACTTAATTAATTGAAATATCTCTTTCTGATCAAAACAGTTGACTGTTAGTGAAATGCAAGTTTGGTCAAACCATATATGAGAGAGAACCATAAACATAGCCCTAGAGTGCTTTAAAAATGGATTTCCTCTTACCAGCATGTCCGACTGGTTAGTACAACTAGTGACCAGTTAAAGCCCGTGGTTTATGCTCGATAGTAAGTAGTAACCAAAGACATCCCCGTCTGAGCTACTGCTCTCACAAATGTCATGTTTGCGGTCAAAGTTGGAGCATGCCAGTAATCGCCAGTTCCAAACACAATCTTGTTTTTCAGTGCCAACTTTCTTGTAGTTGGTAGGCCTATCAATCGTTCAGAAGGGTTGCCTCGCATAACCCTGTTACAGTTCACATATAAAAAACGTCAAGATAAGTCATATTCTACATCCAAGAAAACATAGATTTTGGATCTTCATTCAATCCCTATACAGATCTAGTACCTAAATTTACCTACAATTGAAATTATTGTCGCATTTTATGTTTCTCAGAAGATTTAAGTTTGTTTTATTTTCCTTACTTTTTAAGCATCAGGAATTTCAGTAATTATATATTTCTGGAACTCACAAAATTTGAGTCCAATAACAATTTTTAGTTATGCTTATAGCCTTTAATTATGGTTTTGTAATTATTTTAAGTCCAATAACACTTCAGACTCTAAATAAATAAACCTTAGAAACGAATCATGACTTCAATGAGAAGCTAGCAGTTCTGCAGCTTTAATTGAGATTTCAGATTTGAAACCAGATATTGTTCGCGTTTGATTCACTACCAGACTAAATGCCTCATCATTTAGTTAAATCCTTAGACTCATGTCAGTTCGCCATAAAATTATCAAGAGAAACTTACAGGAGACCTTTCAGTAGCTGATCAGCTCTGCATTTCTCATTAGCTCCTCCACACGTTGATACCAGCACCTTGAACTCTGAAAGAACACACTCACATATCATGCCTCTCTTTCCGGATATAGCAGCACTGAGGTCGGCATGCATTGGGTTCTCAAGTTCAGACATTGCCTGCAAGAGGTACACACCTTACTACAAAAAAGATCCATGTATAATTTAGCATAAAACAAGGCACAAATCAAAGCATTGATAATGCTAATAATAGAAAAAGTAAAAGGTCAGCATCATAAAGTGATGCAGCATACAAATTTGAACACACATGGCTTTGTACTTATTGTGGATATAATTTAAGAAACCAGGTTATCAGGTCTATAACTTTATTAGGAAAGGCAACAAATAAGGGTTCGCAAATTCACTGGGGAAGACACGGGTTGAGAATAAATGAATGGAATTGATAGTATTTGACTGCTGGTAGCTTAAAAATCTACATGGCAGCACAGATAATTTAATGGATATCTTGAATGCTTAATTTGCAGGACTCAGCAGGAAGATAGGTAGGCCTAATAAAATGAAAACGGTATAAGACTTGGTGATGTAAAGGAGATGAAGACAGGAAGCTCAATGATTAATAAAATCCTATGTTGCACTGATACGGATACGGGGACGGATACGGGGACGAGAAATGGCAATTTCTAAAATTACAGGGTAGGGGGACGGCAAGGGTACGGCATATAAAATAATTTTAAAATTATAAATAGATGTAAAAAATTACCCAAAAGTTCCCATGACTCGGGTGGAAATGTGATGGGATCCTTCAGTTGCTTCCCTTGCTAAACCAAAATCTGAGACCTTTGCAGTGAAGTCATCTTCTAATAGAACTAAAATTGTTTGTCGCTTTCTCAAGCTCAACATGTGTAAATGTTTTAACTGGGAGAGCACAAGTAGCCAATGTGGAAATGAATGACATTGATGGAGAGCTTGCCATGCTGCTTGACAAGATAGAACCAATGTCTGCATTAACATGAAGACCAGATTATCATATATTCCTACTTCACAAATATCAAAATAGTCCATACAGACAACAAGGAAATATAAGTAGGTTAGATCCAGGCATCAAAATTCCATTTATTATATATTCCAACTTCACAGCTTTAAGGATGAATAACCATTATGATTCAATTGTTGCAGTAACTGAAAATACATAGACATGTCAGCTTAGGGTTGTATGTATGCCTAAACGACGTGTACATAGATCGCTAGGTTGAGCTTCAGCTTCAATAACCTGGAAATGATTCGGATATTTGATCAATAGGTTGCAACTTGCAAGTGCTCATCTTCTCAGCAGGGTTTATACTGTAATTGTACTGTAAACAATCGTTCACCACCAGAAATTGGTTATAATAGTACCCAAATCCCATCGCACTGGGCTTGGTCCCTTATATCCTGAACCGTGGCCCTCCCGGCTCGGACCCACGGTTCCACACCGCCATAACCTCCAGGGACACCACGCCGGCGTCGTGGAACACGAAATGCGATCTGGGTCCGAAGAACCAAGCGTGGTAAGCCATCCATTCTTGGATTCTATCGGCGCTTAGATTACCGTACAAAGATGATCCGCAGTGAAGATAATAGCATTGGTACGGCGGTCGGAATTTAAATTCGTTGTAAGATCCGGGTGGTTCTTTTAGAGCTACAAATTTCTCGTATTTTCTCTGGGATTTGCGTAGTAGGCATTTATCGTTAGCTTTCCGCCCGTGTTGTCTTGGTTCGGGTTGAATGGGAAGGTACAGTTCACCTATGTTGCACGGGGACGGCAGAGGAAGGCCGTACCCTGCCACCGTGGCACATCCCCGGTACGTACCCCGGTCGTCCCCGTGCAAAGGACGTTTCGGGTACTTAAAACGCCCTTCCTCTGCCGTCCCCGTGCAAAATAGATAAAATCAAATGTTGTGGAAAAAGAACAGAGGGACTTTGAGAAAGCTTTCTCTTCTCCCGTTGAAGAAAGAAAATAAATGACTGCATAGATTAGTACAAATTCTATGACCATACTGCCATGAGCATACAAAATATGCCGTGCCAAGAGGCTAGAGGTCAACAAGAAAGCGGCATATTTTCTTTGATCATTTCATTTCTTCTAGGGGGTAGACAGGGGGTAAGATATATAATTAGCCATCTAACTGTCATTTCATCGTAATTAATTTCACAAGAAATACTCCTGTCATTACTCATCTTAAATAAGAGATCAGTGCTCTATAAAGTTTGTATGTTCCTAAACAACTGAAATCATCGAAAGTTTTATTTGCATATTGAACCTTCAAGAAACATAACTTTCAACTTAAATATCCACGCCGAGAACCTATTTTACACTAACTACCTTTCATGTAAAAAGATAGGAGAGATTTCATGTTATCCATATTGATCAACTTGCGTCGTCAAGATTCTCAATATTATGTCCCATTGCTAATTCCTATGACAAGAGCTATCAAAGCCATTGTATCAAAGTTGATAAAATCATCCTCATGGGAAAATTCTTCCATCTTAGCAGATTCAACCAAATCAGCAGGCAAAACTTTATTTTTTATTCTAACATTGTAATGGGCATATAACCCAAAAAAACAATGTAAAACAACAATTTTTGGGAATTAAAAATAGAACCGAAAAAAGCTTCTTTTTGAAGGGATTTTAGCATTTTCTTTTCTGTTCTGTTTTTTCTTACCATGCATATATTATCATTATAATCTAAGAAAAAAATAAAAAAATAAAGGTAGGGATTTAGAGTTTACCTTGCTGCTGTCGGGCTTCATCGGGACCGGAGGAGTCGTCGGGGAGAGGTTGAGGGTCGTGTTAGGCTAGTGTTAGGCTTCATCGGGACCATAGCTTTGGACCTCTCGGCCGGGGAGAAAAGATCAGAGTAGGGCCTGATTTCGTAGGGGTTTGTCGGCGGGGGTGGGGTTTCCGGCGTCGTGTTGGGTGATAGATAGAGGGGAACGACCACCGATTTACGGTGGCCTAGGCAAAAAAACGCCTTGGCTCTTAGGGGAGCCAGCCGCCGCGTGCGTGAAGGGGAGGGTGAAATGAGTAGAGGAGATGAATGTTTTAGGGTTTGCTTTTCTCGGGTAAGCTAGAGTAGGAGATATTAGATTGTTAGGTTTCCTTTTTTGTTTTGGGTTAAACACGCTAAGGTCTCTATACCTTCAAAGTATTTTTACACTCCAGTCACTATGTCGTAGGTTAATTACCCACAGATCTCTAAATCTTAAGAATTCTTTTGTGTCCTGGTCACTAAATTAAGGTATAATCCAGTGTCAATCCTCGTTTTTTAGCACTTTATTGTATTTTAGTCATCTATTCAAGGGAAAATCACCTTTAGGTCCCCCAAACTTGGCAGTGTTCTTGCTTTTAGTCACTAGATACTTTATTTTGATGTTTTCTTTGATTTAGGTATCTTGTTTCTATTTTATTTTAATTCAGTGACATTTTGATATGCCATTTATTCGAATATAGACACTTATCATTAATTTATTTTATTTTAGTCACTCACAAAGTTTTATTTTCTTGTGATTTGGGTCTGTAATTTTTATGTTATTTTATTTTGGTCCTTGCTGCTGCCACATGTAATTTGATTATATTTTTGTTTTAGGTTCTTATTTTGCCATGTTTATATTCTAGTCATTGATTAAGTTTAACTGGTTGCTTAATTGGTTTTTGTTGTAGTTATTATTTATGATTTAGTTTTTGTTTTACTTTGAAATTGTTGTTATGGTCTCTGTATTATCATATCTTTGTTCTAATTTTTACTTTATTATTTGTTGCTTTATTATTGCATGCTCATATGTCGTATATATGTAGTATATATATTTAAAGGAACATTTTAACATGTTAACATCTATTAAAATTTATAGAATACTTTAAATTGCTCAATGTTGATAGTATTTTTTATATATATTCGAAACTACTTTCGAGAACCTTTGCCGTAAAATGGGTGTAAAAAGCACTACTTTATAGAAGAAGTGTGATTCAAGACAATATTCAAACGAAATGGGAACTCAAAATAAATCGAGTATATTTTATGAAAAGTAATATTAATTATTCGTTTCTTTAATTCTAACTTCTACATTTGCAACATGTGTTTCTCTAAATAGCAAATTATTTTATGCAACTATTTGTATAATTTTTTTATTCGATTATTGATTTTTGATAAATCGAGGAGGGGATATTTTTTTTTCAAGAAATAGAAGAGATAACCTTCCCGTCGGAGGATGTGCGAATCTTGATATTTTCTTTCAAATTAAAGAAGTTTCCCTAATAAATAATTCGAGACAAACTAATTAAACTCTAATAAATGGATCATATTCTAACTTTATATTTGATTTCCTAATTTTACTTCATCGACAATGTATAAGCGATTTGATACCAATTTTGGGCGCAGTAGTGGTGATTTTTCTTCCCCATGCGTAACCAACTCTCGGACCCGTTAAATCAAGTTTTTGGTAAACACAGTCTGAGTTATGGCTTTTAAATATTTTTTAATATTCTAAAAGGTGTTTTAGGTATTCGACCTACCTAACCCAAAGGTCGATGGCGAGTGTAAAACAAATTAAATGGTTTCAAACGATAAGTCATAAGCGAACTTTCTTTAAAAGAACAAAAAACTTTTAAAATAAAAAAGGACTTTATGACAGTTTGGCGACTCCGTTGGAACCTTTTTTTAAAGAGTCAAGTCGTCTATTACTTATACACTATCGTAGTTATGAAAATTATGAATTCGAATCTTTAAATAGATTATGATCCATTTATTAAAGTTTTTCTAATTTCATTATTTTTTTGTCTTACTAACGTTTTAATTTATGTTTTCAGCTTCATCATAGTTTTGTCGAGAGTTTTTCTTTTCGAGTCAAAGGTTTGTATGTTTCTTCTCGCACACATCATGAGCATTTACATGACATGAGCTCTAGACCCGAGCTTCGTCCCAAGTAAGTAGGGGTGAATGTTATACTTTTGTACGAATTTATTATTTGTATGAGTTTTAGAAAATAACCCCTTGGGTACACATATCTTATACCTTCGTATGGATTTATTCCTCGTAGGGGTATAAGGAAGTGGATTCCCTCGAATTGAACTCGATCTATTTATGCCTATAATGGGTTAGGATTAAGGGTTTGGTAGCCCAAGGGGTCATCGATAACAAGGACAATTCGAGTACTTTTCCCTGTCAGAGCCAAAACCATGCATATAGTGAACCGTAGATTAGTCACACTAAGTAGAGTCATGTCGAACCTTTGTCCGTATTAAGTGCAAAAATAAGCATACACTAAGGATGAACGACTCTAAACCTTTACATTTTGCTTCGAATTCATAGAATATATTTCTTTTTGAATGAAAGCTGTGAACTAGATACCATGCAGATAGAATTAATTTCCTGAAAATAAAGCATGTCGGGTAGAAAACATTTCTGGGTAGGATTGCTATTTAATAAAAGCATGCTCGGGTAGATACCATGATGGGGTAGGTGTTATATTCATCTCTGAATAACACTTTTATCTGTATCGATTATCTTACATATACTAACTCTTTTTTGCGTGTGTCATTTTTCATTTTTTTACATTGCATCATCATAACATAACACGAAAATGTTTATTCGCAAGGCGATATTTAAGTGAAATTTTTCACAAAGAGAGATAATAGTTTTCAATCAAGCAATCACGTACACAGACATGTATCGAGGGCTAAACGAGTTTTAGAGAGTACAAGAAGGAAACTTGCTTGAAGATCATGCAACATTCAAGACTGAAAAGATGACACATTGATCCGAAAAACAATAAGTCTTCTCTACGATCGTTCTATCGCTAATTACCAATGAGTGACGCGTTACTTCAACATCGCATGGGCATTAATTGAGTTAGGTTACAGAGTATTTGAGGGCCATAATTTTTAAAGATGACATTCTGAGATGAAGCATCGACCCATTACATACCCCGATTCTAAGCGAAAACATGTCTGTAAAATGGACTATCTTGTAATGTGAAGACTTTTATCTTTGATGAAAATTGTTCTATTATATTCATCTTTGAGAGCAACACTTTTTACATTCTCATCTTTGAATATTTATGTTTACATTTACATTTGCATTATGTACTCGCATTATGTTTGTTTTAAATCTTTTCAACACATATTCAATCATTAAAATTTGGGAATAATTCGTGGAGTATTCCATGACAGAATTTCTAAAAAAATAGATTGGAGTCAACTTGGTCTTCCTAGAAAACGATAGGAGACATGAATGAGATCTTAGCACAGGTTAAAAGAATCGAGAAACTCCAAGAACAACTTGTTAAAACCCAGCAAGAAATGACTAATCAAGCAAGGAAATTTCATTACGAGTCAAGAGAATATATGTCTTAATTGATGCATATGATGACTTTCTTGATTCATATGGAAAAGCCATTAGAGGATCATGCTGTAAATATTGTGAATGAAATGATAATGATAGATGATCAAGAGCCTGCTAAAGAGTAGGGCAATTTGAGCCAGCTCCAGAAATTAGATGTGGTCATAAAACACATCTCTGAATTGGTAATAAATGAAGAAACAATAAAAGATGAAGATTTCCATATTAGATATGGACCTCACTCAAAGAAGAGGGTAGAGAAAAAACCAAAATCATGTTAAGAAATCTAAGAAGAGTCAAACTCTTATGATTTAATGCTTTAATCCCTTACAACTATCAAGTTAGGTTAATCAAACTCAACCTCCCAAGACAGCGCAAGCTAGCCTTCCGTCAAGAGAGTTATAGGATAATAAAATGAAGTCGTAAAGTTTTTAGTTCCCTCTCTTTCATTTTTCAAGTGAAAAGATACATTTTGAAATGCTGAAAGTTGAGTTGGTTGCACCACGTTATGTCCAGCCATAGTGGCCTCTAAACGAGTAATAGTCTTATAAGGAGGTTCCTTGAATAAACCAGATTGAAACCTCATAACATGCAGTTAAGGTTTCTACTAATCTTGAAGGAAATTTCAAGATCATCTCGAACAACAAATTAAGAGATCCAAGGCAGAGAAGCAAAATGTCATACTTTAATGCCAAACATCCATTTCCCAAAAGAGATTAATGTAGCCAAGTCCAGTGAAAACTACATGGCACACAAGAAGGAGAAGGGAAATCCAAGAAAGTTTTAGTGGATGTATTTCAAGTTTGGCCCATAGGATTGGGAATGAATTGGTCAGATGCAAGCCTCAAAGCATCTCATATGCCTACATCAGATTTTCTAATGACAAGTGGGGCATTAGACATTTCAAAGAGACTAACAAATACTCCACCAATCACTGCAACAATTGTTCCTCAAAACCCAAACAAGACTAGTATCCTCAAAGAAAATCATTTTGGATCAAAAGTTGGGCCCAATTTCCAACCAAGGAAGAAAGAGCTAAACAAGCAAAAAGAAGAGAAAGAGGTCAGTCTTTTGGGGCATATAAATAACAATTTCTAGTTTGGAAAGGTTAATGTTGAACCACATTTGATAGAATCAGCTAATGAAGAAGAGAAGAAGAGAAGATGAAAGATCAAGAGTTGCATGTCGACAAGATGCCTGAAGATACCGGGGTTGGAAAATCTATGGATGAAAAATGACCTTATCTCCATGAATAAAGGAGAAAAAATGGACTACAGAGGATCTCCTAATAGTTTTTAGATTAAATTTAGAGTAATATTCAGAATTAACCCTTATGCTTTTGCCCGTGAGCATTAAGGAATCTTTTATGAAGGGCTCCTATGTTAATTCTACTTTTTACGCAATTGAATATGCTTTATTTCATTTCTCAATGGCAATCATTTTATACATTTTTATATTCTTTATAATTCATTATTTTCTTTTATTTCATTTTTGACATTTTTGTTATTATTTCATTTTTGACATTTTTGTTATTATTTCATTCATTCCATACAAATGTATATTACTCTTCCAAATGTATATATTTGTTCCAAATTTTCTCTGCAATTGCTCTAATAATTAATAACATGAATGTTTCTGAACTTTAATCATGAGATAAATTTCGAGCGACCTGTGTTTAGTAGAAATCTATGAGTGTAAAAATGAGGTAGAATGTGATGTTTCTAACAAACTATTAAGGCTAGTGAAAAAAAAG